TTTTATTTAATGCTTTTTGATCAAATGGAATATTCATTTTAATTAATTTTTTATTTTGTCTTAAAGTTATTATTTCTGATTCTTTTTTAATTCTTTCATTTAAATAATGATTAGTTTTAATCAAAGTGTACAATGAAATTTCACTTCTTAAAAGATTTTCTTTTCTATTGATTTCTAATTTTATTTTATTTAACTCAAGTTGTTTTCGTTTATATAAATCTAAAGTCATTTTTCTACCAATTTCTTTATATACATTTGTTTTAGTAAAATTTTTTTTTATCATATGGCTTGAATCTAATAAATTTAGGAGTGATTTGATATAATAAGCATATTCTCAGGAATTCAATACATTTATCAGCACGTACAGATTCAAGTTTGCTTTTTTCTAATTCACGATATAACTTCAAAAGTTTGTCGACCATATTTCTTTTTTATGGCGTTAATTAATGAGTGTTGCTATTAGTTCACATAATGTCATGCCCGCCAAAGAATCTCTTGAGTTCGCTGTCAGAAACTAACGAGATATGTTTACTTCACTCTTATGCTTCTTTGGCAAAATGAGAATAGAAAACAAACATAATTAAATTGTAGGTCAGTGTGGATGTAGATAGGATAAGGTATTTATGTCAGTGATGTACTTGTGCGAATCTTCTCTTCATCCAGACCCACATCTATATAAACACCTGCACTTCTGAGCAACATCATCGATAGCCATGAGCTAATCAAACCTCAATCATTCGAAAAGGTCTTTTCAATAGTACTGTTTTCTTGCATAAAAGAAAAAATAAACCAATTACACACCATTACATAAAACGCAAAGCAATATTCTTGAATAACATAAAGCAGATAGATAATTGAGTCAAACTCTGATAAAACATGTGTGTCAATAGCAAAAAATCAGAAAAAAGAAGGAACAAAATATTTATTAATCAAGACTCTTGATTAATAAATATTTGCGGATAAGCCCCTTCAGGCGTTTGTCTTCCGATTGATCAAATCTTGATTTTTTTCGAAGTTACCTATACATAATAGAACTTAATCGTTAAGGTTCAATTTTGTCTATAGAATCAACTTACGGCTCTTGATTTCTTTAGTTCGCCGATTTTTTTGTGCTTCGTCGGGCTTCGCAGACGTTTCGGAGCACCATATTGATCCAAAATATGTCTTAGATTTTTAATTTCTGTCGCTAAAATAAATGAAATATCACTTGTGCTTATTCACTTATCGATAGGTGAAAGTTAAAACTTACCCTCATATTCCGTAATTGCCCCTGTTTTGCAAATGGCATCTGTGCAATATGCCGTGTTATTCTCATCAACAAGAACGAGTTGGAAGGTCAACATTGATTGTCGCAGATTATACTCATCTCTCGTTTTCTTTGCTCCGCTTGTTCCTGTTGGATGCAGATCTAAAATCGATTGAACAATTCAATACGATCAGTACAGTGCACAATTTTTTTCCCACCAGTGAATGACAGTTGTGTTGGTGAATAAATGGCAAATGTTTTCATTTTTGCTAGATCAGGTTGTGTGAGGCGAATCATGACAAGATTTTCAATCCTAGATAATTACACCAGATTATGAATTAAGAAGAAAATCGACGCGATGTCACCTACGTGATGTAACCATTTTTAAAATCTTGTTCAGTGACTGGAATCAATAATGAACCACCATGAACTTTGGCATGATTATGACGAATCCATATTGGATATGGATGAAGAAGAAAGAGATCACTTGTATCATGCTTTAGAGTAATGCGAGTAATGCGCAAGTAAACAGTGACACGTGCTGGTAAATGAAGACGGAGATCAGGAATCTAGATAAATTCATTACAAGAAAGCTACAGATGAATATTTTGTAGAAGAATGATGACTCACACTGATTGTCAAACTTTTATTCCAAGGTACAAAAATGTATCGATTAGCTTCCAAGCATTCGTCTTCATATCTAGCACGTTGGTATGGACATGGAGGAACTGATATTTCGATTGAGTCCGGTTTGGGAATTGAAACTGAGTAACTACTTTCGAGAAAAGCGTGTGTCGATGGGACATCCTATTGCAATCGAACATAAGTTAAAATTATGACAAACTATTGATGACTACTCTAGAAGACTTACCGACGACTTCACTATTCCGATAAATTTCTTCCCATCGATAGGATTTTCTTCGATCTCGGTTGATCCTAATGAAACTTGATTAATGATAAGACCACAGTTGGTCTGTTCATTTTCGTTTGCTTGTTCCATCAGTAATTGTTGTTGAAGTGGTGACCCTCGGGGATCTTGATCTAGTGCTGAAAGAACAGAAGTATTTTTTATGGAAGAGATAAATCAGCCATTGAAACAAACCATGAATTTCGGTTGTGAACGCTTGTTCGACATTACTTAGTTCACAATTGTCTTGACCATAGTTTTCTTCTATATCAACAAGAAAATACAAATAAGGATCAACTTCAGAAAAAAAGAATTTTTTTGTAACATTTACCGTGTAGATCAATCTCAGGAAATAGATCATCCAGATCTATGCTTGAGAAATCTTTGGAGTTATCTACTGGAACCGAAGCAGCCATATTAGTCATTGGGAACGGTGCTTCCTTAGCGAACTGTTGAGGCAACTCTTCTAGCAAGCAAGCTGAAACCTGATCTCCCGAGTCGTTCCTTGCAAATGCCTCTTCCGACATATCCGTTTGAAATAGCTCATCAAAGGAGCTTCTAAAATTCTGGTTTTTCGAATTCATTGTTGAGAGGAAATTTTCTGTAGCAACATTTTGATTCAGATCTTCGGAGAACTCTGGTTTGCTTAAGCCAATCCCTTCGTCTACTGAAGAGAAATCTCCTAGGTTTGGCATTGGCATTAATGTGGCCAAATCGACTGCTATAGTACCTATAAAGACAACAAGAATATCAAATTAAAACTAACAGAATTTGTTTCTATTGCACACCTCCATTATCTAAATCCAATGATGAAAATGAATCAAAACGTTCCATTGAAATTAAGTGTTCGTTAGAAATTTTTTTTCTGTATGATCAATATAATATAACAAGTACAAGAATATCTACAAAAGAAATCAGATATTATGTCGTAATCGACGAGAATATTGCAATCACAAAAATAAAAATTTCTTATTCAAAAAAATCAAAACATCAACAGAGACAAAATACATACGTATGCAGCGGTAAAAGCAATTGAAGTGGCTATAGACGACAGGCAAGCGAATGTATCACGTCTTTCAGATGGTTTTTTCCAACTTGCATAGTCTTTTTTTCTTTTTCTGTGTAATTATGGTCATGACCCGTATTTTTTTCTTACGTTCTTCGTCTGAGAGAAATATTATTTTTGATGCCGTTTTTTTATTCTCTCTCGGTCTCTTTCACATGTCGTCAAAAAAAGCTTCACATGATTCATATTGAATAAACGATAAACTTATCCAATCGACCAACAGATTCTTCTGTTAAAACAATATTTCTCGACACCATTGCTAATTGTGCAACTGATAAGAAATTTTTAGCTGTGAATTGTTTCCATGGCTAATATTGAGAGAAAAAAAAAACATTCGCGATAATTTTTTCCTACCATCTTTCATTGATCAAGTGAAGAATTCTGACTTTTCATCAAACCATAGAAATTTCATATTTTGATAAACATCGAGAAAAAAATGAACCCTTAGAGTTGCATGAAATACCTTCAGCATGGGAAAAAAGAGCAATGAATGAATCATCCATAGTCTTCTTATCTCACTGAAGGTTACCTTCAGTTTGCATGAATGTTTTGCTGTCTATATATATATATACGTCTGGCTGGATAGACGAAGAAAAATATTACCTTTATCACAATATAAATTTTCTTCAGGATCGTTTTTTCTTCTTATCGGCACAGGAAAAATAAACTCAAGATAGCGCTTATATTTATATGGCTAAGGCTCGAGTGTAATTTCATTATCGTTATAAACATATTCTGATGATTATGTCTTTTTTCATCAAATATGATATAGAAAAGTGTGATTATAGATGTTAGTCTATTGTTCATTCATAATCTTCCTTCACCTCTAAGAACTTTCTATCGTATCCATACCTAAGACCAGTCACAATCAGTTCGCGAGTGTGGGTACAGGAGTGGATCGATAAATCAGAACATTTGCACTCACACCCAATCCTTAGTAATTCTGATTGACATTGTGGGATGTGAATAAATCTTCAAAAACACTTGTTTATTTCGAAAATAGTTACTAGTAAATAGAGTCATGGTTTAATCAGGAAAATTCTCTTTCTTTTAGAACTTTTAATGTAATGTAATGAATGCTTTTAAAATTGAAAATTGAGCAATATAATCACTATATTCTAAGATGATTGTTCATCTAATAGAATATTTAGGTCATACCAAAAGTCTTTACGGAGCTATATCGATTTCCAATACAATGCTTGAAGAAATTTTCTTTTTATAGAGACTGATAGTAAAAATCAATCTCTCCATTTCTACACTATTTGATCAATATTCATCTAATATCATAATAATAAAAATTTGATGAGAACTATTTTTGTGTGAACTTAACTAACGGGTGAGGTAAATTAAATATTTCCATCACTTAATACCTTGTATTAAAAACCGAAATATACCACAAGATGTAGCGTTAAAAGCTTTACAGTTTACATAAGATCACTTACTTTATAGTTGCACTTTCTTTCCAAAATGACTAAATTTTGAGTCAACAATTTTCGATTTTGCGCAAATGATGTTTTCTTTTGGTAGCGGATGGATTCATTTTTGCTTATTTCACCTTTGTGTCATCTGATATCTTTTATTAAAAAAACAAAATACATCACAGGATGCAGTGTAAAAAGTTCTACAATCTACAAAGTAAATCTTATTTTAATTGTTTACTTCTTTAAAAAAACCAAGTAAAATCCTATGCGACCAATTTTTTGCTACCTCGAAAAAAATCATTTTTTTCTATACGCAGACAAATTCTTTTTTCTTATTCCATGTATAAAATAAACTATTCTTTATAAACTGTAGAGCTTTTCACATTGCATTTTGTGATATATTTTGTTTTTTTTAATACAACATATTAAGTGATTGAAAATTGAAAAGTAAAGCATAGTCATTAGTAAACGTATACAGGAATTACTGATTGAATACAATTTGTCTATGAAAATATTCGAAACAAACATATGTTGTTCTTGATAGAGCTCGACAAGTCCTATTAGAAGTCAAAATTGTTTTTTTTACATTATTTTTTGATGATAAAAACCTTACTCTTTGTCCAATTCCTTTTCTATTCATTCCAGTTCTAAGAGTCGGGTAGAGCGAGAGATATGTGATGTATGCCCTTTTGTGGTTGAGATCTGAAACTTAGATTGAATTCAACTTTCCAATTTTACACCTATGAAAACAAACGAGAAGACAAATAAGAGACAGAAGATAGGAGAAAAACGAAAACAGAATAAGCTATATAACAGTTTTCGTAGAAACGAGTAAGAGAGAATGAGAAGAAAACGTCTAGATGAAAGCAATATTTTTTACTGATAATTAAAATGCGCCTTTTCTTTTCTTCATTTCAAGTATCAGTGCATCAATGGAAGAGATGAATGTGAGCGAAAATGCTGCATCACTACCGATTTTTACCAAAGCCGAACAAAGCATGAATAAACGTTTCAAATTAATTTCATGGAACATCGATGGACTGGATAGACTTCAAGATATACTTGAAGAAAGAACTTGTGGTCTTGTTGCTCTCATACAACGATAATAGGATACATTCATAATTCAAAGAGAATACTAAAACATCTTTATTCATTTTTTTTCTATGTAAAATTGAAATCAAAATAGGAACTGAAGTCGAATCGAGTTAAATTGAATGGAAATACCTTCATTCGTTTTTTTGTTCTCCAGATCAAAAAGTGAAGTTGAAACTCTTTCACCATTTGAATGATATTAATTAAATTGATTACAGATAAAAATGTAGATAACAGTTGAAATGTTATTTGATACGTTAAGCACTTCTGTAATCAGTATTGATTTATCACCCCATAATAAGCGTTTGTTATAATAAATTTTCTAAAAAAAAACAGTATTTTGATTTTTTAGATTGATATCAATAAAAAAAAAGAAAGAAAAAGATAATCGATTTGAAATAACATCAAGATTCTTAAGTGGCTTCTACCGATTATTTTTCTTGCATCTGTTTAACCCGTTTCGTTCAAATGAAATTTTTCTTGAAATAGGCTTTTATCTCGTTAGTAAGAAGTTTTTGACTGACATTCGCCTTGATCAAAGCTCAAAGATATATTCCGTTCATAAAATTCCGATCTTTCAATCATCAATTATTATCCTTGTTCTCGCGTTCATTAATTACGAACTTTTACGATAAAAATCTATTTTATATTGTACTTTTTGTTTAAGAAAAACAATATGATGTTTCAATATGTATGAATAGATCAAATGTAGAAAATAGAACTAGGTCTAGAAAACAGTAAAATAAATAACTTTCTCAATAAAGACAATCAGAATATATGCAGTGTGTAACAATTGTAACATCTTTTTTCTGAATACAAGTCGAATCAAATCTAGAGGAAGGTTTTCTTATTCGTAGCGGCCTCTAATTTATAGTAGAAATGAATGCATCTTTAATTTTTTTTAGAGAAAAACCAGATGCTGTCTTTCTTCAAGAAGTTATTCCAGAATCGCTTGTATTACTGAATAATTCTCTACTAGAATACGACTTCTATATTGGTGAGTGAATTTATGTAAAGATCGAGCGAAGTGTTGTTTTTCAGGCTATAGAACAGGCTATTTCGTGGCTATATTAACAAGACGTGATACTGTCAAAGTACAAAGTCATGAAGTGATTCCTTATCCTGGTACGCAAATGGATCGAAATTTACTGATCGTTCATCTAAGCTAGTCGAAAATTACTTTCAAATATCAAGTAATAATATTTAATATATTACAGGTTATCTATGAAGACTCCAGCGAAATCGATTTGATAACAACTCATCATGAAAGCTGTAAGCCGGCAGCCGATGAGCGTATTCGACCATTGAAGTTATGCTTCAAAAAAATGGTTGAGACTTCCGCAAATAGAATTGTTCTCTTCGGTGGCGGTTTAAATATGCGTGAAAATGAGGTAAGATTTTTCATGTACACAAAATTTATCCCTTCAGTTGTGTAGAGATAAAAGAAAGTACAGTCCATCTTTATAGGCAAGCTTTTTTAATATCTAAGACTTTCAAAGCTAGTGAGTCCATCAAAATCTGAAACAAATCAATATTCATAGTCCGACCTACCTATCGTCGCGAATGTCCTAGTTCTATTCGACTTCATACAAAATAAAATTAGTGTTTAAATTAAGTAATAAAATGTATCATTTTGAATTCTGAAAAAAATGCTTCGAGGTTTAGAAACCAAATGATTTGGGGTGTGTGTGGGTGTGGCTGTAGATGCTTACCGACACCCACACCCACAAAACGGATAGTGGGCAAACAGTAACAGATAATGTTGTTTATTGGGAAATTTTTTCGTGAATTCCATATGCTTAATGTTGTGAGTTTATAACTTTAGTAATTGCTTTTATATTTAATAATTCAAATACTAATCCGAACCTTTTATTAAATCAATTTTTCCTATATAGTAAAGTCCAATCCTTTACAGGGACCTCTAATGTAACTATATTATGTGTCTCTTAATGTTCAATAAAGTCTATTTTTATTTTCAAAATAGTTCACTGATGATCATTGTAAATTGTTTTGAGTAAGCATTCTATAATAAGCACCACATTGTTGTATCAGTTCTGTATGAGTACCACTCTCTACTATATGTCCTCTATCAAGTACAGAAATCAAATCACATGAACAAATAGTTGAAAGACGATGAGCAATAATGAGTGATGTTCGACTAGAATCTTCTGTTTGAGCGTGTTCAAGAGCTTCTTGTACAATCTAATATTGAAAAATGAAGATAAAATTTTAATTGATAAATGGAAAACAAAACAAACTTACTTGTTCATTATGCGAATCCATGGCACTTGTAGCTTCATCTAAGAGCAATACTTTAGGTTGACGAAGAAGAACTCGAGCAATAGCAATACGTTGCTTTTCACCACCTGACAGAAAACTGCCTTTCAACCCTACTTTTGTTTCATAATGCTGAAAAAAAAATCATACAATAGTAATAGATATATGATATAGTTTTGTATTGTTTAACCTGAGGTAATTTTTCAATAAATTGATGAATATTAGCTTTTCTTGCTGCATTGATAATGTCTTCCATTGGAACATTTTCTAGACCATATGCAATATTCTCAGCAATTGTTAAATCGAACAAAATTGGTTCTTGACTGACAAGACCGAATTGAGAACGAACCCAATGCAGATTTAGTTGTCGAATATCAATGCCATCAATAAGCTGGAATAAGCCGAGAAATATTTATATGATTATTTAAACTATTCATTAAAGAAATACTAACTAGTTGGCCACTTGTAACATCATAGAATCGTTCCAACAGTTGAATAATTGTTGATTTTCCACATCCAGATGTGCCTGTGTGGATCATATTACATAATTAACATTTAAAATAAACATTTAATTCAAACATACCAACAAGAGCCATATATTGACCTTATCAGTGAATATAAATTTTAAAAAGAAATGATGAAATCAAATTCTATCTGACTTACTTGCCTTGATATTCAATTGAAATTTGTTAAGAATAATGAATGTTGGTCGAGCTGGATAGATAAATTTGACTTGATCGAATTTTATCTCTCCATGAAAGTCAACCTAGACGAATAATATTAAATCCACGGCATGTACATGATTGAAACAAACTAACTATTTTCAATGTTCTCTTACCAATTCTTTTCCTTCAGTAGATGTATTGTCTATTGCTGGTTTTCGATCAAATAAATCAAAAAACGTGTCAGCAGCCGACAGTGATGCAGCGATACAACTAGATCTAGAATGGAGATAGTAGAACAAGAAAAAACATAAACTTGGCATTGAGAGTGTTACGTCATTCTGATGACATCTAATGATTGCATCGAAAAAGCAACGAAAGCAAACACCCTAATAAATTGAACAGATAGTGAAACATTATCTCTAAATTATCAAAGTATAGTTTCAATTACATTATGAAACGGTTTGCTGTCAGTTCGTTCTTCTCAAAGAGATCGAGAGCACGCCAATAGACAAATGCCGAAGAGGATCCATCTAGTGCCCAGCATATACCACATGTTATTGAAAATAATATCGAAGGTTTCCAAAACAATCTATGACAAAATAAGATTGATTAAAAATTTCTACATGTATAAGTTTCAATTGACCAACATAAATATTTGATGAATGAGTTCAGAATATTGTCGTAAGACTTCTGTTTCTATTGATAATTGTTTTACTGTACGCATATTGTGAATAATTTCAACAACAAGCTGCAGAAGTAAAAGACAGAATGAATGCAGTGTATTTAGTTTGATAAACAACTGATGATTAGACAGTTTTCCCTATGAAAAGAAAGGTTATCAGCTAAAATCTAATCTTACCATGCTTGCTCGTCCATTAATGAGACCAGATTGCTGAGTCATCCATGAACGGACACTCACTTCGCCATAGACGATTAGGAATAAGAAAAAAAGAGGAGCAAAAACGATCAATGTTAATTGCCAACTTATGAAACATCCAAATAGAATTCCAAAAAACGACAATGCGACAGCTTCACAGATGACTCCTAATCGCGTACCAGTCATCTCTTGAACAGCTGATGCATCAGACGAAAGACGAGCACAAATCGCACCAGAACTATTTTTAGGTCGATCGAAATAAGCAACTTCTTGACGAAGAAGACATGCAAAAGCTTTCGAGCGAATACGCTGCGTCAATTTCGATCCTGCTGTGGCGAAAGCTGTATACTATAGAAAAGAGTAAATAAATCGTTGATCAAACTCAGAAGCAGCATTTTTACTTGACAGAAACGAAGAATCCATACAAGAGCACCCAAAAGCAAAAAGAACAAACTAGTAATCAACACATGACGATGTCGTTCAGATGTTGAACCATATTTGAATGCCTACACAATAAACAAATCGATGTAAAATCGATATATATTGTCAATATTCTTGCACGGTATTTGTACGAATGAACGGCTTACTTCGACTATTTTGGTGAGTAAAAATGCAAACAATGGTTGAGCTACCCCATTAAGTACACACGCTATGCAACCAATCAAGATCGTGATCCATTCAGGACTACTCATGGACAAGAGTCTTAAAAAGACAAATCTTCGTCTGAATGGCCTTGTAGTTTCCTAAAAGAGAGATTATCATTAATGGTTTTTATAAATAATTGCAGTAGTATTTGTACTTTGTTCACATCAACAATTTGACTATCACTAAGTAAACGACAGCGTTTAACTGTTAATGAAAAAAAGACGAAGAAAATGGAAGACTATTACCATTAGATTTCTTAACATACATATCGACTTTTCATCTTCTTCTGTCGCTTTTTGTATGCTCATCATATCATCTTGATCATCATTGATTCTTTCCATTTGTTGACATTTGACCATTGATTGATATTTGCCTCCTTCTTTTGCCATTAATGTTTCATGTTTACCTTGCTCAATCACACTTCCATTATCTAATACATATATATGATGAGCATTTTGAATTGTAGTCAAACGATGAGCAATAACGATAGTTGTACGACCTATACAGAATGTTATAGCAATTCGTTAAGCAAAAAAAAACAATTATTACTTTTGCATGCTCGATCGAGTGCTTCTTGAACAATTTTTTCATTAACATTATCAAGTGCACTTGTTGCTTCATCCAATAAAAGGAAAGTAGGCTGTTTGACAAGAGCACGAGCCAATGCAATACGTTGTTTTTCACCACCACTTAGCTGTATACCACGTTCACCAACAAGTGTTTCATATTTCTGAACAAGAAAGAGTGATACATATATGTAGATAAATGTAAATGTTTGGCGCAAACATCTGGTAATTGCATGATGAAATTATGTGCATTTGCTTCTCGTGCTGCTTGTTCAATTTCTGCTTGTGTTGCATTTACTTTACCAAAACGAATATTTTCATAAATACTTGTACCAAACAGAATCTATTACAATATTGAATTAAAAAGAAAGAGAGAAAAGAAAAACGAAAAAACAGCATACAGGTTCTTGACTAACAACTCCAATGTTTTGTCGAAGTTGTTTGACATTGTAATCTGTTATTGGTCGACCATCGATCATTATTCGACCCGATGATGGTTCATAGTAACGAAGAAAAAGTGATATACATGTACTTTTACCTATGAATAAATTATAAACACAAATGAGATCACTGTACAATTTTTGTTTTTGAAAATACTTACCACTGCCACTTGAACCTACGAGAGCAGTTGTCTGGCCAGCACGAGCAATAAGAGAGAGGTTACGCAGAACTGGTACATCTTTTCGAGATAGATAGCTAAAGTTGATATTGTCAAATTCAATATCACCATTGATATTATAAATAGCTTCTGTATCCTCTTTCCATATATCTATTTCATTGACACTTGCATCATTTCCCTATATCATGTAAACAAATACAGAATGCAGGTATTGGTATGAGACCTCAATTTACTCAGATTTACCTCATCAATAAGTCGAAACACCGATGCTGCTGCACCTCGAGCTTCTGAAAATGATTGAAAGAAAGGACCAATAAAACTGAAGTACGTCAAGCATCGTGCAAAGATGGTGACGACCTGCATTAAGATAGTAATCTTATATTCATTTTCTTATCGACTGATTATATGAATTACTCACGGCAAGAATATCACTAATATTCAATGTATGATCATCTTTGTGTGACATAAGAAGAGAACCAACGATAAAACCAACTGAATAAACTAGGTAGGTTATCAGAGATAACCATCCAGTATAAATCCCAAAAACTGCACCTTTGCGTATACTACTCCAACGAGTTGGATATAATTCTCTGTCATATCTAAATGCAATAGAAATAACAACATATTGTATGAATATCATATAGGTACACTATTTTTGTATATTCGTTTACCGTTTTTGCTCAAACTTACTACCATTGAGGGAAAGAACAGTTCGTAATGAACTAAACACTTCTTGAACGATTTGTCCCGCTTTCGAATATGACATTAACTCATTCATTGCTTCTTTAGCGGTGAGCTATAATAATTCATAGACATTTAATTGATTGAACAACATTTCATACCTGAGAAAACACAAATGAGCTACCAATGACTAAAGGTATGAAACATAGCATAATCAAAGTCAATTGCCAGTTGACAATGAAAGATACTATTAAACAACCAATCATGCACGGTAACGTTGACATCAATAATAAGAATTCAAAATCAATGCCTTTCTCAATCTTTTCAATGTTACTGTCAATAATTAAATCAGATGACGTTATTTGATATAAAATATCCTAATGACTTACTCAAACAGTTTAGCATTGAGTTGACTAGCCGGTTTGGTATCCATATATGGAATGCTCTAAAAACAAAGAAAATGAGAAACAGTCAGAGACGGGCACATATGATTGAATGTTACTGTAATTCGACTCTTATTTCCCAAATTCGACTTCATCTGTATGTTTCTAACTACAATCCAATATCAACTTTATATTTTTTTTGAAAATCCTACTGCAATTCTGGCTGTAAAAAGTCATACTCTACCAGATTGTCTTATAAAACGTTGAATTCTTTTAAATTTGCTTCTATAATCTGTGGTTTTCCTATCAATTTTTTTTGATTTCATTCGACAAGTCCAACAGAAATTTAATCACGATTGATAAAAATCTATTACTTCAAACTCCACTAGAGCTCTTATGTAAGTCAATACCAACTCCACTCATACTGCACCCATCAAATGTCAAGTTCTAGTACAACAGCAATCTAACGTGCAAACTATTCCAGATGTCCTCTTTGAATTCAATGACTTTTTACTGATACATACTAGATAGCATTGTATTGGAAAGTCTAACGAGGGAATATATCTAACTATCGGACACCATTTGGCTTCACGTTATGGATACGAATAATCCTCGATGAAATTAAGAAAGGCTTAAAAAGATATAGGTTCATGGCCTACTGTTGAAGAGATATGACCGTTTTAATGATATGTTAAATAAGAGCAAGACATTTTGGAAAAACCCAAAGCAAAGAGTTCTACGCTGAAATTATGCCTATTGGCTCGTTTGAGTGTTACTAGATAATTCTGAAAATTTCAACGAAAGCAAATATGTCTTTCTTGAGATAGTCAATTTTCAAATGAACTCGATTGCTATGTCTTCCTACCGTAAATCGTTCTTTTTTTAGATATTGAATATCTCGAGAAAGACATATTTGTTTTCGTTGAAATTTTAAGAACTATCTGATGATTATCAATCATACCAACAGACGTAATTTCAACTCGAAACTTTTTATTTTAAATCTTTTAGAAATATTTTGTTCTCAGTACTTAAAAGTTTCATTAAAATGGCCATAACTCTTCAATCATAGGCCACGGATTCGAATCATTTTAAGTTCTTCTTAGTCTCACCGAGACCTACTCGTAGTCATAATGCGAAGTGTAATTGTGTCTGACAATTGGAAATATTGCCTCGTAAGAAGATTTCAGTTCTTATTGAAACTTGGTGTAGCTATTGAATTTTTAATATTTCTATATGCCAGAAACTCCTGTAAGGCTCCACGTTTTCTGAAAAATCGTGTCTTTGAATTTTTTTTCTTCAAACGATCTCTATTTGAAAGTTTCATATACATTAGCTTGTATGAAATATTCCAGCGTTTGTTGATTTCGCATTTTCGAGATAGGAGCTTTTCAACAACAGAAGCTTTTCGAAGCATATTTCAAGATACGAAAATATTTTGAAAAATTCGTATCTTGGAGATACGAAATATACAAACTCTGAAACTCTTCATACAAGGTGCTGTACATGAGATTTTCAAATTGAGATAGCTTCAAGACAAAACTTAAAAACATGATTTTTCTAGCAACCAGGAGTCCTATAGCGGTCTCTGGCAAACAGAAATTTTAAAAACTTAATAGCTTCCCCAAATCTCATAGAAAATGAAATCCTTTTGAATTTTCTACAAGAATACTCTGTAGTATCTATAGGCAAAAAAATCACTGAAATCGAAAGGGGACATCTGAAGAGATTTCCTCATAAGAAGACTCAGTTTCACTTCAACTTTCGTAGATAAAACTATCTATTTGAGTTGAAGTGGCGCATCTCTGTACAGAGTAAGATCATTTTAAAATAACACTATCTAAACTTCAGTTTTCCAGAAATATTTCTTATTTTACTACTTCTGAAGCTGTATCAATAGTGGAATTGTCTGTCTTCATTATTGTAAAGTCATCATGTACGGAAGTTAAAAGTTTCTCATAAAACAATAAATAATCGTAATTGCTCTATAAAACTTCAAAACGATTATATTTGTATCAGCTTCTAAGAAAGCATTTGGTATGTAGAGGATAGTGAGATTGAGCATGCACTTGTACTCGTGTCCTAAATCCTTGATTTTAGATCTAAAAGTCCGAGAAATAGAGGCATATCTAGATATAAATAGATATTATCTAGATAGTGTAGCTTATTTCATAGACTTGCTAGAATTGCTAATTTGTGAATGGTGAGAATTTCTTAAAAAGAAAACGAAAAAGATATTATTAATCTATAGTAATTCTAAGAAAAGACTAGGATTAAACTTTCGGAAAACATATTTTTTATAAATGGAAGTGTATTTGACTTACACGTTGAAGTATTGATCGAAGGAGAGAAACACGCATACGAAACGTCTGTCGTTTCACACTAATGTTCCAGATAAAACCTTCAAGCAAGCCAGCCAAAAATTCGACAGCACTAATAACTACATTGATAGAGAAAAAAAGACAATTTGCATTATTTGTAATAATCAAATTATTGCATTCATTTTACTTACTGAATAGCCAATAAACCATGTTCATAATTTTTTCTCGAAATAAAGGCACTGATGTTGCTGAGGTTGATGATAAAATTACACCCATCGTATGGCGCAGTCTAAGATGAAAAATATCAAGAAAAAATAACAGAAATACAGATGAAATAATAATAGTTTTTAGTGAATTACTTATATGACGAATCATTGTTGAATATATTGAGTTCTATGGCTTGAAGATATGTATTGTTGTTCTTCATTGAAGTTATTGAATTTTGGTGTTGATAATCACAATTATCACCAAATGCTTCAGTAACAAAAATTCCAGTAAGTCGACCAAAGAGAACTGGAATAACGAGAGCGCAAGTCGTGTCCACTACTGCCAAACATGCAGCAATAAACATCAGGACAAAATCCATACGATTTGCAAACCGAAACTACAATAAAATCGAATATATCAGTTAGTTTGTATTTCATGTGAATACACTTACTAAACGGAAAACACCGACTGGTTCATCTTTGTCATTATGTTCAGTATCATCATCTAATTTTATATATTTGTTATCTTTCCCTTTTTTACTGAAACATCGGCACCAATCAAAAAAACTATGAAAAATGATAAATTCATCGTATTTTTCTTGCAGTCAATTATTCATTAGATCATACCTATTGATCAAAAGTTGTTTCTTGTTTCCATTATCATCATCATCATCAATAGGGGATTTACTGGATGCGTTTAGCAGCGGTTGTCTATCATCCATTTGATATTTTTATCGATAAGACTATTATGAAGAACAATCAAGGACAAGCATATACAAATATGTGCATAAAAAATTGGTAGTAATTATTACTTGAATACTCATCTGTTTCTTTTCTTTTCTTATCTTTTTTTTTCTTTGTTTTTATTAGTGAAATGAAAAGGTATGTGCAATCAAGCGATTATCAAATCATGATAAGCATAAATGCAAGTCGATGTCGTCATCTTTTCTTAGGACTATTGAAAGACAGAGACGGTCTATATGTTACTCATCTGCTCATACTGTAAAGAAAAAGGAGTAGAATAATAAACCCTTTAAGGGTATATGAAAATTATATATCCTTAAAGAGTTTCTAATACGTTGCTCACTTTACACCAATCTAAAAAAGAAATGCATAAATTTATTCAAAGAATAAAACTTACCATTTACTTGCTCATCAGATAAATCTAAATAAAAAAAACAATACATTTACTAAAGAAAATAAAACTTACTGTTCAGTTATTCACCTGATGAGCCTAAATAAAGAAAGCAGAATAAACTTTTTGAAATAAAACTTACCCTGTGATTGTTCATTCGATGAGTCTAAAAAAATAAAGAGTAAATTTATTATATTAAATATAACCTACCGTTTGATCATTGATTCGATGAGTCTAAATAAAAAAAAAAAGAATAGATTTATTAGAGAAATAAAACCTACGATTTGAGCGGTGAGGGTGTGGGTGGAGGTGTGGGATGAGGGTGTGTAGGTGTGGATGTGTGGGTGTGTAGTGTGAGTGTGGGGTGTGGGTGTCAGTATCTTGCTTTTCCTAATCCACACCCA